GTTGTCTCTAGCTGCCTTGTACTCTGGCCATTCTGTGCGACATTTATCGGTCTACCATGACCCAGTTTTTTCGCTTTCAACAGCTGAGAATTTCCCTGAAATATTGAGCGCATCTCCAAGTCCTCGTAGGAGATCATTCGTGAAATTTTCGATGTTGATGACACTGTCAAGAGGGCTGGATTTAGTCCATTGGCTAACGCATCGGCTAAATTCCTTCAAGTTGGCGTCGCTGACACAAATATTCCTCACAATTCCAGAGAGATCTGACACTGTAGGATTAAGTACGGTACCTTCGATGGTTGAGTGGTCTGAGGTGCAGTGGTAACGGTTGGAAACTGATGCTATGGCGGCTATGTTGCTCCACGTTAGATCCAGGACGTTGCCGTCCCTGTGTGTTGGCTCTCCAAAAATGCTGACTAGATCCATGTCATGAGCTAATGCCCATTCCACGATGTCAAACTCGAGGGTGCCAAAGGTAGCGTCGGGAGTGTTACTGAGTGACCTGGGCAATATCTGAGGAGGTTGGCAAGAGTCAAAGGTATAAATTTGTAATTGTGACTAGAACTAAGGACGAGGGACGAGGGAATCTAGGATCGGAGACAAGGCCAGTGAAAGACGGTAGACAACACGTGACCCTCTACTGCGGCTCTGTCCAATCCATATATACATCATAGTAACTAGAGCAACCTAGGTCTCATAGAGTCCACCTTCTTGAGGTTATAAGTTCCTAGGATGGTACGGCGGTAAAATGTGGATGTACGAAAATTGTAGGTCAACAGTGTCTCTTAATTTCTGCTATATCTTCTATATAGTGAAATCTTAAGACGGTGTATGACTGTCTTCTAAAATTACAGGATGTGTCTAATATAAACAGACTTGTAGCTTAGCGTGCATTATGCATAAAGACTGGGGTACACGTGACAAATTATAATACAATGTTTATGATTAGGGATCCTCATTCACTACTCGATTACTCAATTCGTAACCCATGGCAACTATTGTATCCCAGTAACCTCTATCCTCAGTTCCTGACACACGATTTGGTTACCATTGCCATACTGATTTGTTGTTAGCGGTTGCCAATACTGTGACACAGAATTGAAATTGCCTCCAACAACCACTAGACCTCTAATTTCCCAGCGGAGTAGGGGCTCCAAGGTTCCACTAGTGCCTGGGGCACGGTATATATCGGAATACTTCAAGTGGACGGGTTTCGTGACAAGCTTGTTGTAACAATATTGGTATCAATTAATTCCTGTCTAACTCCCCCCATCCTAAGGAACATCTAATAATTACATTGGGGAGCCAATTTCTTATTCCCGGCGCTATTCTATACAAGGAAATATTACGATAATAAGGCACGTGATATGATACAGAACTTTAATCAGACAGTATACGTTGACAAAGTTTAGGCTGCCCATCTTTACAAAACAGTAGTAAGATGTCGGGCCTAACAACGGTGGAAATAGTTGAGTTGCATGACTAGCTTTGCGCGTGAAAGTAATCACGCGGGGTCGGATGTCTGTTCCTCCAAATGGTATATGGTGTGACGGCTTGTGAGCCGATAAGCCCTGTAGCCTTCGATGGCTATCGAAGGCAACCTATATTATCTATCACTCCGAGGATTATCAGCAGACGAAAACTGATATGAGATCGCCACTGAGGCTACGTAAAGGATAGTACCAAGAGTATCGGAAGAGTTACCCGTGTGGCAGAACAAACCTTACGTCAGTTTCATTGCCACTGTAAACGTAGGCTAGATTTAGATACCTCTGGATGTGTATAAGTAGTAGAGGAGACTTGTAGGTAGTTTGCTTCTACATAGATGAATTATAGCTTTACCTTTCAATCATACAAATGCCCATTCGCTTTCTATATTCGAACTGTGACATATGGACATTGTAGCCAGGATAACTTTTTGTTATAAGAAACCCCTCTTTCATCCTTGTCCGTGGTTCCTGTCCCATGACCACATGTGCGCCGGCATCCTATGCCTGCTGCAATGCTATATCCGTGTTTTCCCCACCTCTTCCGACATTCACTTGGTGAAAGTGGACGGTGTTATTTTTTTTTGGTGCTTTTGTTGAGGGGTTTCCTAACATTAACACGACATTGTTGAGTCCTTGGCAATGACAGTTTCAACCGCCTTACCCTTCCTTTCTTAGTACGCTAGAGCAGGGTGATAATCACGATATCCGAGCTCTCTAATGTTATGAAGTTCTGCGGGGGTACGGGGCAGAATTATCCCGTTTTATCGTCTTGGCCGGGCGATACAGCTACCCTCATTTGAGTGGTGGGGTCCCGCAAAATTCGAGCACTTTGACACCTTTGCCTGGCACTCTGATGTCTCGTGGGTTCCCCCACATCTCCCACATCGTTGGCTCCGGGTACAGGAACGCGTTGTGTGGAACCCCCAGCAATGTTGGCATCGATCGATCGGTCAACGGCGTGAGAAGGGAATTGCTGGTCCGCTCTCGTCAAATAGACGAAACTTAACATTTGCTGGATTTTGTTGGAAATGAACAATTGAGCTCGTTGAGTATTGGCCAAGTTTTGTTTTTGTGGGCCGTACCTGCATTGGTCTGGCGCCACATACCGCCTGGCACTCGTTTTTCACCATGTCGTTAGTGACTGGGATGCTGCCTTCAAGCGTCCTGATGTATAATGGCACATGAGGTACGATCAATGATTTCCGTTTGGACGCTTCCTCAATCACAGTGTTGTCTTCCTGTAGGGAAAGTGCGATCCTCATGATTGTATCTCTCAATGCGTCTGATGCGCATTCGAGAGCGATCCCCGACCTGACTGCGTACATGGACGTGACAGCGGAAGTCACTATCCCAGCCTTATCGGTGATTATTTTCTTGATCGTGACTGGTGATAACTTGTGCCTGTGGTGATCTTTCTTCAATCGTAGGAACAAGAGCTTGTTCTCCTTTGGGGCTGTCTGGGGTTTCGGGTTGCCTGTTGATGCAGGCCTTCGCTGAACCTGCACGTTTGGCGGCGTCGGTAGCTCGACAGCTTTGCGGGCTACTATCATCCAGGGCGAGCTGATGTCTTGAGGCTTTGAGGGTAGGGCGTCGCTGTGATCCTCAACAGCTGTGTTGTTCCTAGGCGCGACTGGTTTGGGAGTGCTTGCCATGGTGGGGGGCTTCTTACTAGGAAAGTTGGTTGCTTCAGCCTGATCTACTGTGAAGGCAGTGATAACAGGCGTGATTTTTTCCAGCAGAGTCGCGACAACTGCTGCTACTTGCTTCTCTCCTTTGCTCTTAGCCCAGGAGCCGATTAGTTCAAGAAGTTCCTGGGCTATACCCAACATTTCTTTCCTTTGTTGTTCTACTTTTTGCATTGCGTTTACAATGCCAAGCAGGCTTGGATGAAGTTGCCCTCCTGGATTGGAGGGCGTTGTCGATGACGATGAAATAGCTGGGGCCTTTGCACCGGTTGGAGGTTGTTGCAGAATCGGTAATGGGTAATGCGATGTGGGATGGGTCGGAAGAAAAAATGTGATAATGAAATGTGGTGGGGAGTAAAATCTTCATAGTCGATGAATCAATAAGGACTGAAATTTAAATCAATCATAAATCTTTTGCTCGCTAGGCTCTAGTGTTTCTATATACTCACCGGAAGTCACTTTCCATAGCCTGTGTCAGACTATGTAATGATAAGTGACTTCGGATAGCTCCATTCTCATAATTATCTTTTTGATAACATCATTGAAGGTTGTATTCAGCTACCTAGCTATGACACGTGATCGAAGCTATGTATACATGTTAATAACTATTTTGACGGCAGGGATACTCATGCTCTGGATTTCAATCGCAAATTCCACTATGAGGCATGCTTGCTTTCACGAACAGTCGATCCTCCTATTTTTTTGGCTTCTCGACCCTCCTCCGTAAGTATCCATCAAAGGGAAATTCAAACCCTTTTATTATTCAAGCATGCCTTCGTCATCAATCCATGCTAGTGCTGCGGTAAATTTGGTTTATATTTGCCAAATTCGAGCCAGTCATCTTCTGTCGTAAGTGTGATGTGTGTCCAAGCTATCAAGAATCTACTTGGGAGACCAATCCAGATGATAAACCACCGCACCATCCAACTATGGCGGTATTACGGTGTCGTGTGTAGTCTCGCAATCATGTGGCACACAGAGCACAATGTTTAAATCCCTTTACGAATGTTCAAAATCTCACCTCATTCGAGATTTTATCCAACGTTAGCTTAGCATCATCCTATCAGCTCGTCCATTTTTCTCTCACGTTCATCCCAAAAAAACTGCCTCCCGAATTTCTTGACCACAATTTGTGTCCTCCGGTGGGTGTCCATATTCTTGTTTGCGTGTATGTGGTGGCCATTTGAGGCGAGAGACTCATTTGACGAGGTGTGTGGTTTTGAAGTAAAGATATACTAGGTCGTACTTGTAGACTTGATTAGCCTTTGTCCGGAATCCATCTTGTTTTGAGTGAGATAATGACTTGACTGGGAGTATGGAATAGTTGTCTCGTTGGCCAACTTGTTCGGTTTTGCGAAATTTGACTGAACTTGGTTCTGGGAGATAATTTCACTCCTAGGTTCGTAGTGGACACCGCATACAGGTGGTCCACAATTATCATTGCTACCATATTGTTAGTATTCATCACTTAACCCCTCACCTATCTTCTGGATATATTGGAGCACGTATCCGCATTAGTAATTGAGGGCCGAATAGTCCGAGACAGTTTAGTCTATCCGGTGACTTATCAGTGATCGTGTTATAGAATAAAATAGTACACGAAATATTCTACAAAATATCACTCGAACCTTAGCTTACAAAGTTGGAAATATCACTTATATCAAGGTCCATAATTTATAAAGAGGCTTCAATATTTCTAGCATGACCAATCTTTTTGCCTCATACTACCAGCCTGCATCACTTTCGCATGTCTTCACTGGCTTTCCTTGGACAATATTATCCATGCAAACATTACACTTTCTGGGACAACTATGCGTCTCATTGCCTACAAACTTGCATCCGCAACTGGAAAAGTGCCTATTTTTTGTTAGATTATTCTATAAGAGTAAGCGTTTGGAAAAATACGAGATTCTGGAGCTCATTAGGCACAGGCTTTTGTCGGTCAGTCTGGATATCGAAGATTGAAGCAAGTAGTCTAAACTATTCGTATGCTTACAGCCGATTGAGGATGGATCGGTAATTTCGACGCAGGTAATTGGCGATGGTGGCTTATCTTCACAGCCCGAGTCCCTCTCAGTGTGAATGCAACTATGCGTCATACTGGAGACTGGGAATGATAACTTCTTCGTAGGTGAACTCATCAGACTCTGAACCACATGGCAGGATGGACTTTTTATCGGAGATGAACTTGCAGGATGAGTCTTCTTGCTTGTATGATGATCGCAGGAATCATTGTTACCGGTGGCCGGAGCTCCTATATGTTCAGCATCGTGAGATTTGAATCTTTGCACGGTGAGGAAATGAAGTACCATTAGGGCATAAATCTATAGAAGCATAGTTTATCAGACTTCCATCGTTACTTAGCTGATGGTAATAACGAAGAGTTTCAGTCTTTGCATCGTAGAATGCATTTAGCCTTTGCGTGTCGGGAGGCCCATCCACGTTCTCGATTAAAACAACCACGGCCTTGTGAGGAAATGGTATGCTTGTAGACGTCATTATTCGTGATCATCAACTGTTTTAGAATCGGAGGAATTAAAAGTAAAGATGATTAAATTAATTACAAAGTTTACAATTCACACTGCTGGGTATCTGATTAGGTGAATTCGTAGTAGCCTCGTAGATCTCACTTCAGAAACATTATTAAAAATACCACCACTAAGCCTCGCAACTAAATCAAATAGACCATCAAAGCTAAATGACCTTTCCATGTACGTAGATATATTTTACATCTAAATATTATTCGGAGCGTGGCTTATTACGTCCGTGTAGCGCTCGCGGTCGAATTGCTCAATCGTTCTTCTGCCGCTGCAAGAAAATACATAACCTCAAGATCTATTGTATCACAAGTATTGGGCAACAAATTTTGAGAGATGGTATCAGGTAAGCCCAAGTTTATAGCACCCAAACACCTGGCCTCTCAGTATGCTCTAGAAGGGTAGCTATGTCTTCTAATCTAGTCCTGATGTCGACATTAGGAGAGCTTCGCACCCAGTAGTTTTTGAGACTTTTCCCTGCCGCTACACACCCGCAAATGGCTATTGTTTTGTTGAGTAGAAGGAATATTATGAGGGGACAATGACTCCTCCTAGTTTCGATAAAAGGAACATATTAGGGCGGTATTAATTAGTTCTACATAATTGGAGTGTTCAGGATGTCGTTAGGACTGTGACAGGGACCCGACTTAGCTCATTAGCGAGGCGCTTGGAGTAGAGGGAGTGTTATGATAGGTCTATGATTCGGGTGTACATACAATTTGTGGGAGCTCGCTGCTAGTGATCACAGATGTGCTGCTGGGCCGGACAGGTCAAGAAGAGGAGTGGAGAATGATCTCTGTAGATTGAGGAAAGACTGAATTGCTTACTCTATCTACTGTGGAGGAAAGCTCTCTACTTATAGTCCCTAGACTATTGCTTACTAATTATACCAACTCAACGAAGCAGGAGCAAACAGAGCAAATGCATGCAGTCGTGTGACCATCATAACTGGAGCTATGCACTGTAGCTATGTGGGTCTAGGCACAACAGGGAGAGACAACGTTTTATGTATATCGAGATACCAGTTAATTGACTTTATTCTCCGACTTCGTGACGGCACCCAATTTGTATTATTTCTTGTTTTACTAACACTTAGTGCGTACTGAAATGAAGACTTGTGGGCTTATTACTGCCGGTAAGAAGTCGCAGAGGAGGCAAAGGATTGCGACGGCTGTTGGGTGAATAGATTTACCACATCGCGAACTAGCCAAAAGGTAGGATCTTTTACCGGATATCAATCTGTCAGGGATCGGAAGAAAGTGGACTTATATGAGAACGAGGACTAGGGCGGAGACTAAGACGAGATTCTAGAAAATAGGTAAAACACAAGACATACAGCTACAGCACAAGTCCAGTCCAAGAGTTCCCTTGAGTACCTGAGAGTAGTTACTACAGTCAAGAGTGCAATAGCCTACAGCTGTAAAATGGCAACTGATCAGTATCTTGATTAGTAACTGTTGCTACCACAACACTGTAACAATCGCAAAGCACTAACCCTATTACTATGTGTACTCACGGGGCGGTTAGCTAGTTGCATGTAACGGCTGGTAAGCCGATTGGTCCCTGTAGCCTATGTTGGTTAACTTAGGCCTGATTCGAGTGGCGTTATTGATGGCTACCAATGCGCTAATATGCGACGCCACCCAATACAATACTTTTGCGTCGGCATTTGCATGGTATTCACATGGCATCGGACTCGGCAGTGCGGCACGGTAGTACGGCACTGCACCACATATTGATAGGCTTACACTGACTGGGAATATACGAGACCGAGTACAATCCTTCCGGACCATAACGCGATAGTGCTGTATTACAGGCATAGTCAGAACACTAGGGGAGTCCCATAGCATAGGAACAGGAGAGGGATTAGCCTTGGTGGCGAGGAGGCTTTCACGTATATAAATGAATAGATAGATGTAGTGGAAGTTCTCTCCTTAGAATTATTATTTACTACCATCGACCACATAGTTGCCCCAGCACTTGTCCCTCGAAACCGTGACATTGCAACACAATATCATAGTGTTGGTCTACGACACCATGTTGGTTCACTAAGCCCCATCCAGACTGCTAGGAATTGGCGGTGCCCGTTGATTTTCTCCGCGCGAACTCTTTTATCAACAGCAAACAAGGCATGTTCGCCATCAAAAAATAAGGGCGGTCGTAAGTCATCGAATTTTTGTGAGGGCAGGGTGTAACGGCTGGTAAGCTGATTGGTCCCTGTAGCCTATGTTGGTTAACTTAGGCCTGATTCGAGTGGCGTTATTAATGACTACCAATGCACTTATATGCAACGCCACCCAATACAATACTTTTGCGTCGGCATTTGCATGGTATTCACATGGCATCGGACCCAGCAGTACGGCACTGCACCACATATTGATAGGCTTACACTGACTGGGAATTTACGAGACCGAGTACAATCCCTCCGGACCATAATGCGATAGTGCTGTATTACAGGCATAGTCAGAACACTAGGGGAGTCCCATAGCATAGGAATAGGAGAGAGATTAGCCTCGGTGGCGAGGAGGCTTTCACGTATATAAATGAATAGATAGATTTAGTGGAAGTTATCTCCTTAGAATTATTATTTACTACCATTGACCACATAGTTGCCTCAGCAATTGTCCCTCGAAACCGTGACACAGGGGATTATCTGGGTCGCGCCGTAATAAGTCTACCAAAAATCGTTTGTCTACTTTTAGGTACATCTAGTTGATACACATCAGGTGCAATATCTTTTTGTATTCTATGTTTTGGTAGAGATCATGAAATTTTCTTCTTTTAGTGAGTGTTTTGTTATAAAAACGAGGTCATGAGTCTACAGAGGAATACCTGAAATGGATGCAGATGATTATGGATGCGCGGATATAATTGATGTAGCTGTAATGCGAAGATGCGTTGGAATGAACAGTTGTAAGATAGGTGTCTATCTATCTGCGGAAGTATTGCTTCCATATGTACACGTCCAACCCTCAGTCCTGATCACGCACTCATCACAGGTGCTTCCTACTCCTGTCACAGTAACCGCTTCCATAGCCACTACCAATATCTCCTGACATAACATACCATTGATACTGGTTGCTAGTGTGGACCTTCTGGGATTACAGAGCTACATACCATCGTCACATTGTATGCTGTTGCCCCTCGGTAGCCATCAGAGTAATGTGTACCTCATTCTAGAAGCATTGGTCTACCAGGCAACGCTCGGACGTAGGGATGTTGCCAGAGTGATTAGGTCCTCAGCTGTGCTATCAGTGCCCTAATATCACCTAGCTTCCTGCGCCCGAGTGTCCAAGTGCCGCAATAGTGGAAGCTCAATGAGACTCGATCGGAGCTGATCCATGGTATTCACAACAGGTTTTTAACATTTTTAAGATTCAGCCAGACAGCATCACCTGTTCTTGTTATAAATTTTCAAGGATTTCTAGGAGGGAATATCTCGAAGAACAAGTTTACAATTTCGGACAAGAATTTATTGGTAGTTTTATAGGATATCGAACTCTCTTATAAATATGAATTAATATCATATAATGTTTCATTAACTTGGTTTAATATATACAAATAAGTTAATCCTTAAATACAGATCCCCAAGGCTTTAGTAATCACAAACTCCCGGTGATCTAGCAACAACCAGCCACTAAATTATTGCAAGGTAGCATTTCCCTGTGACGCTCTGTGTGAGCTCACAAGTCTACTATATATAGTAAGATAGCTGGTAGATACACAGATCTAATATTGTGCCTTTTTAGGCCAGCTGGCACTGTGGTAAAGCTATCTAACTGTGGTTGAATGCCTTCCGTGTGATGACTGTTGCAAGTGCACCCTGCATGTGGCCTGTGCGGCTCATTCCAAGCCATAGCAGTCTAAAGACCGTTGAGCATTGCATTGACTGGATTTCCTTAAACATATGCAATTTAATCTAGTCAATTGATTTTGATGATCAGACCTGGAAATCTAAAGCTTCATACATACTGAGCCTTAACTTCATTCAGTTTTAGTACGTTCTGCTGGTCTCCCATGTTGGTTGGCTGATTCCTCCATCAAAAGCTGTGCTGTTATCATAGCTGCAGGTGCTAAGTGTTGACCTCGTACTATTCGATCAACGAGTGCTAGCGTGCAAGCTTGCGATGATTTTTTTGCTCATGAATTACTATGTGTTTATTGGATTGGCTTAGCATTATAGCCATGGGTAGTAGAAATGGGCTAGTACCAATAACTGATGATTTTCTATTGTTCAGGGCTAACATTGTAGTTGGGAGTAGTTTAGGCAAGTCAGTCTACGTATAGCTGGTGAACGCTCGGAGATAATTCAACCCTTCCCGGTTCATTCTTTCTGTACTACCATCGGTCTGCGGATGGTTAGCGGTGGACAATCTTTGTTTTATACCAGTTATTTTACACAAATAAGTCCAGAAATGACTCACCCAATTTGCTCCTCTATCTGATGTTATAAACTTAGGAAACCCATGAAAACGATAATGACTATATAGGAAGCGTTCTGCGCAACCTTCAGCTTCCATTGAGTTCTGTGACGGAAACCGAGTTGGTAATGAATAAATCGATTTATTAAACTATATGAAGAGAAAAGAAATCTCTAGCTACTACTAACAGGTACTTATAATGTTTGGTCCGCTTCGTGAATCTGCTGACTGATAACTTCTCCCTAGGCCTAATACTTGCTACCGAGCCAAGTACTATCAGGAGCCATTACGCTATGATGTTGCTTCGACCTCCTGGCTAGTAGTGCCATTTCATCTCTATTTGCCCATCCTTCCTCTTTCAGTCTTATCGTAATTATTCCTAATTAAACGCTTAGGTTTCCTCCTAAGCTAAAACAACGGCCAAACCGTAACATTACCCCCCGTTTACTCTCTCTTCTTCTCCTTCCTTGACGTTGGACCATTATTTATCTCCGCTGAGCCCCATTTCTCCTTCCAAACGTCGAGTGCTAGAGCATCTTGT